GAAAGAGTAAGCACATGAGACAGAGAAAACATTTTTTCCATATACATATATATTTGTCCTGGTATAACTCCTACCAGTAGGCAAGGATATGTTTTTGAAAAGAAATGGCAACTTTTGCTCTTGTGACAATCCCTGCTGCCTTTCTTCAACATTGCCTCTGATCAGACCCTGCTTACCTGTCTGGATGACTGTTGCACAGAATCTTCGCTGACTGAGGAAAAAATCTGGTTTTCCACCTTCCAGCTTGCTGCAGAAGTCAGAGCTTCAGAGAAGCAAATTTGTTCCAAGTCCTCTTTTCTCTTCTTTAATTCTACATTGAGTTGGATGTCCACGTATGGCCATATCTCCCAGATGCTCTTCACTATTTATTGCATCCCAGCTTAGACAACTGGGATAAGCCGCCAACAGCCTCACAGGGCACATCACCCCACGCCAATCGCTTCTGCTTTTTCTCCCCTTCAGATATAATTGGAAAATTCCCTAAGTGATCTCAGGAGTTGGAGGTCTAGAGCTATTGCTGCCTTAACCCTTGAGATGGGATGTCTTCTGGGAGCCAGAACACACCAAGATCAGAAACTACTGTGAGATTATCAAGAAAGAGCATCTCTTAGAGACAGCATCTCAACATCTTGTAACTGTGGAAACACTCCAGCCAGAAAGATTTACTAAACCTTTACTAAACCTTGAAAATCATAAAGAATACTCTACTCACTCCCAAAACAAAACTTGCCAACCTATTGGAGACCATCATTCTAATATCAAATTACAAAAGGGATGAGGTACTAAGGACCAGAGAATAGCTCTTGAATGTAGTGTTACACTTATTACTCTATTGTCCTTGCTGAGAACACCATCTCCCACAGTACCCACGTGGGGACACAGTCTGGATGGAGAGAAGCTGCCAGAGGAGTGAACACTGGCTGAGCTGTTGGGTGCAGAGGTGATGGGTGGTGGGTTGCTCTGACTCTATGCTGGGGGTTGCTGGGGCTTTCCCTCTTTAGTCTCTTTAAATAGAGCCAAGGGGGTCACCATGGTGCACAGGGGACCATCCCTCAGTACCTGAGTAAAGCAAGTAGTGCAGATCCAGAGACCTGGGCCAAATTCAGCCAAGACTGCAGACCATCAGGCAAGTTGGCAAAGATGAGGCAGATCCAAGGGCAAACCAAGTCAATCCTCTGGTCAGGGTCACGTCCAGCAATTACTAGGCAGGTCCATGATGAATCCTAGGTACAGATCAAAGGAATCCATAGGTGTACACATCTGCTGCTAAACTGGAAACAAATACTCCTCCAGTATAACTCAAGAGAGAAGCAAGCTCCCTGGGCTGAGCTTAAATAGAGCTCAGGGGCAAATGGGCAGAGGGTGGGGATGAAGGCCCCAGGTGAGGCTGGTCAGGTTGATTAAGGCCTATTAGTTCCCCCTGGGATGATTAATCACGGTCTGCAAATGCCTGTTTCTCACCATTGAATATAGTGGAAGCCCAGAGTCACCATCTCAGGTGTGGACATCTGGGCCATGGGTACCTAAACATGGATAATCCCTCCCTTGCTGGAAAACTGGGCAGTCTGGTGTCCACAGAGAGACATTAGCAGCTCTGGAGACAGAGTCAGTTGTGCTCTATGAACCATTTGGGGATCCTCTGAAAGATCTGAAATGTCTCTAAACCCATTTTTGTTCTGTTGGCAAGGTCAGACCAAAACCTTGCATGGTCCACAAGTATCTCAGAAGCATCACACGAGCTGGTCACCACTGCCGCTGTGTATCTGTGCTTGGTGATGGCTCATCCACGTGATGTCTTTCAGATATCCGAAGCAGCACAATTGCATTTCATCCTTTTTTTTCTTTCATTTTTGCCCTGTGTAAACCCTGTCGTGAGGACCCCTGGGACTTTCTCCCAGGAGAGCACAAGGGACCGTATTTACAGCCCTGTTGCCCACAGGCTCAGCTATTGGAGTCTGGGAAGGAGCACATCCCTCTTCTCATCAGGGTGTTAGCAGAGGTTACGGAGATGCGTGAATGTTCTCTGCTGCCTTTGGGTTCAACCCTTGGCTCCCATCACTCGACAGCAGTGGAGGCACCAGAGGAGCCAGAACGCCAAGACAAAGCAGAGCCTCGCCTGTGTTTAGGCAGTGGGCTTTCTTCTTCAGGTCCTCACATCCTCTTTTTCGGGGCTTTGTTGGAAAACAACCTTACCAAAGTAGGTTTTCTTTATAATAAGAGGGAGCAACGGCTTATGCAAATTGTTTTTCTTCTACTTATGCAGCTAAAGCGAGATGAACTGATTTATGCAAGTGTTAAATAAGGAGGAGTCTTATTTTGTTGTAAAGAAATTCCGCGTTTCAAGTCGTCAGCAGAATATAGTCATTAACAAAGCAGCCTTTGGAATCAGCACGTTTCAAAATTAACTCGGTTTTCAAGCAAGCATCTTAACGTAATGCCTATGGTTTTAGGTGTGTGCTGGAGACCACTAAGCTATAAATCATGAGTTTACCAGTGTGAATTTTGTCCATTGAGAATGATATATAATAGTTTAATAAACGTGATTTGAAGACGGGAAAAATAATTAAAAACCAAGAGAAAATGTCTGGAGGTCATTAATGTTGTGCATTCTGTGATTTCACTGAGGCTGTGACTTTCTCTCGCTCCAGGTTTCTGTGTGCTCCTGTGAGGCTTCTCTAAGGTGTCTTCTGCAACAATTTTCTCTCAGGCTGAAAGTGAATAAAAATCGGATTCTTTTCTTAAATCTGAAAACAGAATAAATCCGTATGTTTAATTATCCAAGCACAGGAAATAAAATTGGTGTTTGAATTGTTTCATCTTACTCCCTGTTCTTTTCTAAGCACCTCAGCTGAAAAAGAAAACGCATGTAAAATTTGTGTTTAGAAAATATAGAAGAATAGACCAAAATGCAGTAGTTAAACTGGTGACTGATCGGAGCGAAATACGGTCCAGAACTGAAACTCCTATTTTTTTCTTTTTGATGTTTTTCTTCCTTTCGCCTCAGTGGGTAACATTTGGTCATGGGAGGAAATCACACACAGACTGAATTCGTCCTTGTGGGAATTACAGACAGCCCATGTGCGCAGGCCCCTCTTTTTGGGTTGTTTCTATTGACTTACATTGTCACTGTGGTGGGGAACGTTGGGATTATGGTCTTGGTTCGGGTGGTTCCCAGCCTCCACACCCCCATGTACTTCTTCCTCACCCATTTTTCATTCACTGACATCTGCTACTCCACAGTCATCTCCCCCAAAATGCTAGCAGACCTGTTATTGGAGAGTAAAACCATTTCTTTCGCTGGCTGTGCGATGCAGTTCCACGGCTTTGCTTTCTTTGCGACTGCCGAGTGTCACCTCCTGGCTGTGATGGCCTATGACCAGCACGTTGCTATCTGCAACCCCCTGCTTTACGTGACGGTCATCTCCAACCGCGTCTGCCAGCAGCTGGTAGCATCATCCTATCTCATTGCCTTTCTCAGTGCCATCATCTACACAGGCTGTATATTTGGGGGTTCCTTCTGCGGACCCAGACAGATCGACCAAGCTCTTTTCAGTGGTGCCCAGTGACAGGACAAGGGGCAATGGGCACAAATTGAGGCACAGGAAGTTCCGTCTGAACATGAGGAAGAACTTCTTCCCTCTGAGGGTGACGGAGCACTGGCCCAGGCTGCCCAGGGAGGCTGTGGAGTCTCCTTCTCTGGAGGTATTCACAACCCGCCTGGAC